TATACAAAACTCTCTTTTTTTTGAGGACATTAAATTTCAAACATTTTTGGAGTAAAATGGCCAACTGCTTTGTTTTACTAAACACACGATTAAATAATATTTTCATACTTTTTTGCATGATTTGACAAAACTTTTGGGTAATTAAAAAATTAATGGGTAATTAAATGATGACACATTTTTGATTCGTGGGTGAACCATCCCTCAAAGGCAGAAGATGCGACCAAAATCTGTTTTCACACCAGTGCAAGCTGATCATATGCATGAGAGACATGTTGTTAAACTGTGTGCTCCAGGACTTGTGCTTCATGATATGAGACAATTTACATTGTCATCAGATTATTATGTCAAAGCCATTCTAAATAAGAAGACGGGTAGAGCTAGAGAGAAACAGAAGGATGGCAAAGAAACAAAGCAGATGTGTCCTGTCACCCACGAGGATCTCCCCCACGCTCCGAAAACAATCACATCCCTGGGGCCTGCAGAGGTGGCACGAGAGACAGACGGCTTGCCCTACTTTTCCTGAAGCCTCTGAACAATAACTGCTCTACAGAAAACAAGATGGAGTGCGCTCTTACCCAAAACATCTCCTGTTGATGTTTTCGGATGAATCAAAAGGCACTTTCAGAGTGAACTTCAGCATCTTAATATGTTATTGTACATTTGCTTTCAAGATTTCAGAATGTAACCAAGATAAAGTCCCATATTTTAACATTTACTGGTAATCAAAAGAGATTTGCATTCTGAGATTTAATTGTATGTATAAATAAAATTTCCCCTTCTTAAAATCATTCTAAATATTTTCTCAGCCTGTCCCATTACTGAGAGATCTACATAAGTCTTTATATAAGTTTTTAGCCTGCCTTTTCAAATCTTATCAGCATAGTACATGAAACTTACATAACAGGTAGCATGGAGGCAGTGGACGATTGGCTGTCTGTGTGGCTCTTATTGCCAGTTTGCTTCTTTCTACTGCAATAATTCACGTGGTTTGCTCAAAGACCTCACAGATTGAATCAGGAACACAAAAGTGGATGAGAGTGGATGAGAGAGATTTCATCCTCTTGCTTGGTTGAATGAGATGGCGGTAGGTCTGTTCGCAGTCCTGTCAAAGAGGGGTTCTGATAACAATACGAAACATTACAAAATGATATCCTTCATAAAGAGAGCTGGTCTGGAGACCACTAGTGAAAATGCTCCTGAATCTTAAATTCAGATTAAATCAAATTTGTTTAATTAATTACGCATATTATTTTGTTTTGTAGATCATTTGGTTTATTCCCAAGTTTAAATTGAATTGTGAATTCTAGATTTTCAATGTGATTTCAATTTATTAGGCTAATTTGTGATTTTTAGACGGTGACAACAAAAAAGGAAGTGCCATTTTTATCTCACAATTCTGACTTTTTTCTTGCAATTCTGTATAATATAAACTCAGAATTGCGAGATATAAACGTGCAGTTCTGAAAAAAGGCAGAATTGTGAGACAAACTTTGCGATTCGAGATTCGTCTAGCGTATATTTACAGAAAATATTAAAGCGTTTTGTGAGAACCTGCTCTTGAGGTATTTTAGCGGCTGTATGGTGCAGTCAAAAAAATATTTTTTTGCATTAATACAGGTGTGGAGAAAATAGCAATGCAAGTTATACAACATTCAAACATTTCACTTAAGAAAAGTCACCAAGGCCTCAGCCGGAGTGGGAACGTGATTCAGCTAAATTATGTTTTATGCATCTGTTACATTATTTATTCAATAATTCACATTTTCCTCTTCTCCTTCATTTGAAATGTTTGATAGCCGAGACATTGTGCTGTGATGAATGGATGTTTGTCGCTGGTAGAAAGAATCTCTCGTCTCGCAGAAAAGGTTGCCATGACGATGGGTCTCAGTGCACTAGATGACAGTGCACGCTTCAAGGAAAATTGTCAGACTCATGCTAAAGAAATGCCAGAACTGATGTGCTCAAACATGTGAGAAGGTCACCTGTGGTAAATGTGATGTGTGAAATGGCCGGTTTATTAAATACACCTTACTTTAAACTTTATTAAATACACCTTTCTAATACTGAAGAGGTGTTCAATCAGTTGCTGGTAGCCATTGACTTCCATTGTACTTTTTATTCCATACGATAGTATTTTTCAAAATATTTTCTTTTGTGTTCAGCAGAAGAAAGAAATGTGTACAGGTTTGGAACAATTTCAGGATGAGTAAATGATGACAAAATTTTCAGTTTTAGGTAAGCTCCCTTTAACATGGTATGATATTTATTAATTTAAATATATTTAGGTGTATTTATCATGTACGTTTTTAATGCGTTTATAGACGTTTTTTTCTTTTTGTTTTGTTGTGCATTTTAAAGACTGGTCAAAAATCATGAGATTAATCAACCACTTTTCTAGTCTAATAATATCATAGTTTTTCTCAGAAATAATTTTTTTTATTATTATTATTATTTTGAAGGAATTCATAGTTAATCCCAAAATTTGCTGAAAATGTACACACACTATTACAAACAAGCAGCTTTTCACTTCACAAGAGGTTAATTGCTGGACTGGAGTCGTGTGGATTACTTGTGGACAATTGCAATGTTCTTATCAACTGTTTGGACACTCATTCTGACGGCACCCATTCACCGCAGAAGATTCACTGGTGAGCAAGTGATGTAGTGCTAAATTCAGTCATGCTAGAGTCAGTCTGAGTCTTGTTTGTGTTTTATTTAATAAAATCTTAATGACATAATATGACCTGACACTGAGGTTTGTCCTCAAGTTAACAGACTCAGTGATGAGCAGGTCGTGTTCTGTAAATTATCAGTAGGAACCCCTCATATTTCCTGTATCTGTTAGAAACAGACCCACACACTGACTCACTGGTCAAGAGACACAGTGGTCCAATTTTGCTTGAAAATATTCCAACAGCTGGTGTTTGAGGGAAGTCCCACAGTGAATATGAAGAGTGAATTGTGGGTCACATTCACACATACTGCACAATGAGTCACAGCTAAAATACCATTCATCATCAGATCAGATATATACAAAACATAGCCTGTTAACATTATGTGAGGTTTGAGCTAGGAATTTTGAATGAAATAAAATGCTGACTGACCTTTTACATCACACTTTCCTTTATATTTACATGATTTTTGCATGATGCATTTCTTTTTACCCATATTATATTCTGACATCAATATTTAATATAATGTAATATACTTTTTCTATCACATTGTCCTTAAGGAGGCTTTTAGTCCCTCACCCTCAGGCCATCCATGATATAGATGAATCGTGGAGAATTACTTCTGAATTATTGTGATGCTTTTCTAAGCTGTTTAGACCCTCATTCTGACGGCGCCCATTCACTGCAGAAGACCCATTGGTGAGCAAGTGGTGTAATGCTAAATTTCTCCAAATCTGTTCAGATGAAGAAACAAACTCATCTTGGATGGCCTGAGGGTGAGAACATTTTTATTTTTGGGTGAAATTTTCCTCGTACATTGTACTAGTCAATCTAGTGGGTAAGTAACAATATATCATCACTATCTGTTCTCCATACAGAATGTTTTTCCATCTCTCACATTTGTCTTTATTTTGAACTGAGTTGTAAGTCACTGCTCTGTTTATATCTGTCCTGCTCCTTTTACTGTTATCAGGAGAAAAACATCAAGTGATTTATTTTTAGCTTTGCATGGAGGACAAATAAACAATACAGATCAGATACAGCTTACAATGGCATATTTAACAGTGTGCAGTTTTACTATAAATAATTTCTGGATGATTTGAGTTGTGAGAGCAAAAGGGTCTTTTTTCACTCCATAGTCTCTACCAGACTGACCTCTTCACCTATTTTAACATTTAGAATGGGTGATTCTCTAGAAATTCACTGTAGTCAAGGACAAATGGTAGTGAAGTACTGCTTGTGTGAAGGATGTTCATCTAATCCTGCTAACATTAAGGACATATACATCGGCTTACTTCACCACTGCATACAGCATCCCATTACTGGGATTCCTATGGGATGCTCCCATAAAGGTATAATCCCATGCTCAAGGATTATATAAACGTTTGAATTCATGAAACATCCATTTAAAGCTTCTTGTCATTGAAGGATAATGTTTAATTCCACCCCACCCCCTTCTGACAGTCTCCTGATCTGCCTGGAATGCCATAGTTATAAATTGGAAAACATTTTGCTCAAGAATTCGTAATGATGGATATATAGTGTGTTCATGGTGTAAGGTATAAAAACAAACAAAAGCAAGTCATAAATGCACAATATATTACATATTTTAACACAACACAAACCTAGTAAATTGGCTAACATTTAAAAAAAATTCTGCGACAAAATATTCATGAATTTGTGACTGGATGCTGACTATTTATTCTGTGATACAGTATGTAGAAATTAGCAGGGATATACAGTATATTTACAAATTCTGAAATATAGCCAATACTGTAAAAACAATTAACACAATCAAAAAGTCCACTATATTCTTTTACAACTGTAATTATTATGCAAATAATTTTATTAAAATACATGTAATCAAAAATCAATTAAATATGTAATTGAATAAATTATAAAATTATGCCAAAAATATATATGCCAAATATAACATCTACAAATATATATTAAATAAAAATTTCCATAGTGTTATTTTAACATCATTGTTATACTGTTATAGTTTATGTTGATATATAAAACGGCTTGATCTGAAAAGAGCTGTTTTTGACAGGGTAAAAAAGGTGTTTTTTACACTACCATTGAGAAATTTTAACCAAACTATGTTACAGACTTTTCATTAAGACCCTAAAAATCATATCAACTTGTGGAAAATGGGCATCCTATGACCCCTTTAAAGACTCACAGTCTGTGCAAACACATTCGGTTTCGGTGACAGGTGGTCTGCTGTAGGATCAGCACTGGAATGTTGTTGATCCATTTTTAGACTAGCCATGTGGACAAAAGTGGAGAGCGGTGCTGTTGGAATCTCACAGCTTACGAGGGGTGGTTTGGGTCGACTTTTTGGTTGAGATAAGAACGAGTGTTGGGAAAAGGACATATATATTTCTTGACCACTTTACTCACTCATTTTGGGCCCTTAAATATTGTTGAGCACCCCCTACAGTCTCTTTAGTGCAGGTAGTCAACATTAGACAATATGTGTGTGCTTTTTTCCTCTCTGGATTGATTCCACACCTGTCTGTGTCAGTCAAGGGAAAAGCTGTTCAGAAAAGCCCTGGATGGGCACGACAGAAACAGTGATAGGAAGTCATACAACGGCATAACATGATGAGAAGCTTTCTTCATCTGTTGACGGTGTCCTTGATTTGCTTCTTTCTCCAAGGTAGGACAAACGAAATAAATATTTCATAGCTTAATATCCTCTATCTGTCCGCTGTTCTTTCATGCTTATATAGTAACACAGCTACTAAATGGTAAGTTATAGCACTTTAACTAAGGACTGAATGCTGATGGCATTATATAAAAGATTGTTATTGAATCAGTAGAATATGATCATTATGTTTTTACGATGACAATGTAAAATACTTTTAGAGTAGCATACCTCTACAATTTTGTTGTTTTGTAAGAGTACTACATCCATATAGCTATTTTCTTCATAAAAATGTGCTACCCAAATACATATATTTGATAAAACTTTCTGAAAAGTGAAGATGTGTTCTGTTTTGCAGAATGTTGGGGCCGGAATGAAGAGGAACGCCTCATCAACTATCTTTTCAAGGAGCGTGGCTACAACAAAGAGCTTCGTCCGGTCCAAAATAAAGATGATACTGTAGATATTTATCTGGCACTGACACTTTCTAATCTGATTTCCTTGGTGAGTACATAATATTGCCACTGTAAACAGTTTTTGTACACAGAGCAGGGGAGATATTATAAACCAGAAATATTAGTATAGACTGTTTCATACTGTAATATAGAGTGTCAAATAAATATTGTCTGATACTGTGCCAATCTGTCTAACAAAGATGTTTTTCCATGACAGAAAGAAGTTGATGAAACATTACTAACAAATGTGTGGATGGAGCATGTAAGTACATTATATGAATTCCTTAATGTATTGTTTTATTTATATATTTTTTGTTTAGTATTTAATATAGAATATATGTGTTCATTAATATATTTCTCTCCTGTTTTCTTAAGGGCTGGACTGATTATAGACTTGAGTGGAATGAAACAGAGTTTGATAACATTCCTGTTCTGCGCCTGCCGCCAAGTATGGTGTGGTTACCAGAGATTGTTCTTGAAAACAAGTAGGCTATCTTTCTCCGTCATGTTTTATTCCTTGATATTTATGTTTTGTATGAAAGTAGTTACATACATTTTTTATTTCATGGTTCTTTAAAATAGCAATGATGCCCAGTTCCAGGTGGCCTATTACTGCAACGTATTGATCTATCGCAGTGGATATGTGTACTGGTTGCCTCCAGCTATATTTAGAAGCTCCTGCTCTATAAACGTCAACTACTTCCCTTTTGATTGGCAGAACTGCTCACTAAAGTTTAGGTACATTTTGTAGTATGTTTATACGTATTATTACCCGCTACATGAATTACTTCATGTATTTTATTGCTTATTGACCCCCACGACACTCATTCTGTCTCTAATGTAATTGAATAAATTATAAAATTATGCCAAAAATATATATGCCAAATATAACATCTACAAATATATATTAAATAAAAATTTCCATAGTGTTATTTTAACATCATTGTTATACTGTTATAGTTTATGATGATATATATATATATGAAAGTTCATGGACCGGATTCGTGACATATATATATATATTTTTTTTAATATATTTTCTGTTTACACTTTTTGATGTGTGTTTTTGTCATTTTTATTGGTTTTTTAAATGTCTGTATAATTTTTATTACATTTATTATTTTTTGTTTATTTCGTTTTAGATATTTTAGTACTACAAATCAAACAAAACTAGCTAAAATAAAATAAGTAAAATAAGCCTTTTTGTATATTTTATTTCAGTTAATTAAGAAAAAAGTTAATTTTAATTAACTATAATAACCCTGTTTGAAAAACTCAAAAATCATGTTTACTGTGTATGATAGCATCTTTACGTGCAATTAATAAAAACAATAATTTTATTAAATTAAATCAGGTAAAAAGCAGTATTTAAATTGTATTTCTGTTTTATTTCCTTCATTTCACATTTAAATTATACTTCTGTATACTTTTTGGTACCTCAGGTCAGTTAATTAAGAAAAAAGTTCATTTTAATTAACTATAATAACCCTGTTTGAAAAACTCAAAAATCATGTTTACTGTGTATGATAGCATCTTTACGTGCAATTAATAAAAACAATAATTTTATTAAATTAAATCAGGTAAAAAGCAGTATTTAAATTGTATTTCCGTTTTATTTCCTTCATTTCACATTTAAATTATACTTCTGTATACTTTTTGGTACCTCAGTTTAGATCTGAACTGTGCACAATCTTAGTCACTAGACAACTCTCTCAAAAAAAAACTTTAATCACAAAGAATACACATGCTAGCTGAGATTATGGGTGATATAACAAAGATAAGAGAAGAAAAACAGATTTAATTAAATTCAAAAACAAGACAGCCTGACCCTCCCTTCCTCAAAAATCTCTTTTGCCTCTTCTTTCTTCTTCTGTCTCTCCTCATCTGACCTTTCTTTTGTTCCTTATTTGTTTTCGCATACTCAGCCTTTCTTCCATTCAGATTCAGAACGTTGCCTTAAATATTCCCTAATATTCAATCTGAAATTCAAACTCAAAATGACATGTTGGTGTGTGTGTGTGTGTGTGTGTGTATGAGTCAGCAGAGAGGTGCACCACATGCAGATCGTCCCTGCAGCGAGTGCTGGGTGTCCTGCCTCCTGGAGCTCCTGTCGTGGTCTGACGCCTCTCCTCTGGATTTGTTGCAAAGAAACATCAAACACCACACCGTGCCGCAGCAGAAAGCAAACTCTTCCGAGTCCTGCATTAATAAACCAGAAATCTTTCATTTTTAATTCTCTGCTGAAATCTAATTTGTGTCTATTTTATAGCTCGATAAGAATAGGAGCTTGAGGGTTGTTTAGATTCTTCTGTGCTATTCGAGGCACTACTTCATGGCCCACTACACACCTCCTATAGGAGGCATTCATTTGGGTCATCATGAAAACTGATACAGCAAATAAAACTTTTGAACTGAAATTGAACCTTCTTGGGTCAGGATTTGTGGTTGTAATACAGATGAAAGCACATTTGAACAGCTAAGCGGAATTATGCATAAATATGTAAATCACTGATGCAGTCTATTTAAAGAAGTGTTCATTTTAAACCCTGATATACAGTATATACAATTTTGTTTGTCATTTATTTAATTATTTTCTGCAATAACCAGCCTGCATCACATTTTCTGAAATCCAATACTTGTTTCTTACAAATTTTTTTGGCACTGATTCCATAAATAGTGACATTGCTCTAGCATGACACACTTCCTCATTAAATATGAAGCATTTTTTATTTAAAAAAACATTTGTAAAATGAAGAAATCATAAAAACTGCCACAAAGGTTAAAACTATTTGTTTTGTGAGGGAAAAAATTATGAAATTTCTTCTTCTTTTAAACTGTCTGTATGTGTTATAAAGTAATTACTGATATTTTTGAACTCAGCATCATCAAATTAGGTAATATTAGGCCTTTTTGCAGGCTTTTGCTAATAATATTTTATAATACTATTTTGTTGCAATCACCTAAAGCAAAGATGTTCACTTGAAAACTGAGAAATTACTAAACAAATATCTGCCCTGTTGTCAAACTGGTCAATTTGGACACACTTTTTGCTTCAAAACAAACGTCACCTTCCTGTTCCTGTTGTTTGTTTGTTTAAGCCTGGTGAAAAGAGCACTCAATAATGGCTTATGTGGTCTAGTTGTTTAAAGTCGTGTTTATCTCCAAGTGGTGTGTGGATGTGTGTTTCAGTTGAGTGGAGTTATGGGAACACAAGGGAGAAGGACGGGTGATTTAGCAGTGTGTACTGTGCAGTGTTCAGGTGTCCCGTGATGACCTGTCGCTTTAATAAGCAGCCGATATTGGATATTATAGATATAGTCATCCCCTGATGGAAGCAGTTTCATTAAGTTGATAATTATCTGGTTACATACAGTAATTGTGTTGGTTTGAATAGAGAATAGCTATTTATATGAGTAACTACTAGTTGGTACAGTAATGTATTTTTATCTGCAAGAAGGCTGAAGGTTTGCATACCCAGAGCGCATGCGCCACAGTGTGCTTGGCAGACTGGGTGAGCTGTTAAATTTGTTTGTTTGCTGATTAGTCCTCATGCTGTCAACTTGGCTGAGGGGGTAACACTCACTCTAATTTCTGAAAACAGCTACATTTATCCCATTCAGTCTCATTCCTGCATTAAGAGCATCAGAGACCCCTTAAATTCACCAGATTATATCCAAATTAAAGGATTGCCCATGATCTGCAGTTCACTCTTTTTATTTTTCTCAGTATTTGTTATTGCTAGTCATTTATGGATCTATGTTCTCATTTTTTCCCAGTTATTTAAGTTAAAAAAAATAAAGAAAGAAACCCCATGATGAATGAATCCTCTGAATTAATTTATTCATTCATTTGTAGAATGTAGAGACATTTGTGTACAATGTTTTGCTTCATAAATTGGTCATAATCTTGAAAAATATTCCATGCACAATAAACCACACACTGAACATGTTAAAATAATACAAAAACAAACAAACAAACAAATAATCAACTGAGATGCTCAAAAAAACACTGATGTAATTACAGTGAGAGTGCTGTTGAACATACTCTGAAATTATATTTCAAAACCATTTCATTATCAACAAAGGCATGATCACTTATTGCAACAGAAAGCGTGTTAATGCTGATGTGTGAAACACTCTCCCCAAAATAACATTCAGTCTGTCCTTTATGATTATGTTTTATGCCTCTGTACCCTCACATACCCTGTGCGTGTCGATGAACTATTAATATTGTTCTGAGTAACAAATATTCAAATATAAAAAATACAAATGATTTCGGTAAAAACAAGCGTGCCTGGGTTTAAAAGAGGTGGAAACACCCGCAATGGCACAAGAGAGAAGTTCATGCAAAGAGAACTGCATATATTAATCTATACACGACGCCAAACAAATAAACAGTCATAGAAAAGATGCAATAAATCAAACAAGAAGTACTCCTTCTCATTTTCCCTCCATTGCTGATTCTTCAGATCTTCCTTGCTGGCATTGAGTGGCTTTGTTGGCTATATTTTGGGCATATGATCAGTCAAGGATTGAAAATGGAATGGATGTAGATGTGAAGGAAGTGAATAAAACATGTAATCAATCTTCCCTCGATTACATACATCATCCCATTTCCATGCAAGATATAAATATAGCTTATTTCTCTGGAAAGACAGTCAAGTTGTGCGTCAGGTGCTGAACTGGACAGCTCCCTTGAACGAGCAGCTCATAGATGCCTATGAAACAGGGGCTTCTGTTTGTTGATGTCGTGATGAAATCTCACACCCAGACCCACGGCATCTACGAGACGAGGGGCTAAATGACCAGAAATCTTGGGAGGCTTTCTTCACAGCAGCGGTTTGGGATGGGTTTCAGTTGGAGAATTGCCAGCATCTTCAAATGTCGCTATTTTAACCCATTGTCCAGAGTGGCTCTTCATCCTTCGTCCTGTACTCATACACTGAACCATCATCTTCACCTCTCGTTCACATGCACAGGCGACGAGTGCTTCAAACCGGTGATTAAAAGAAAAGGTTGACGAGGTATAATCGTTCAAGTTTACATGCCGGGAGATGACTTGTCTGTCATCCCTTTGAGAACTTCGTCTATTCTGTCATCTTCAATGACCACTGTGGAGAGAGGACACAGATGTTTAGTAGAGCTTTTAAATAGCATGCATAAAGGCAAGAAAAGTGGCATTTATCTATTTGTGTCAGCAGGAAAATGTGCTATCAAGAGCTGTTTTTTTTTTTAAATGTATGTACACTATGAAAACCATAATTTTATTGGAAAAATAATGATATAGACAAAATACACTGACAAAAAAGACAATGCATTTACGTTTACTGTAAATTAATATTGCTTATTTGTATATTCCAAGAGTTCTCTCCATGTTGCATCAGATTTAATTTTCTTCTTTTTTAAAGCGTATATTTGACAGTTTCTTCAGATTTATTTCTTCATATTCATATTTATGATTTTTTTTTTGTATTACTATTACTGTTTTTGTCTCATGTGTTTACCTGATGTTAATTTGTGTTTGTGTGCGTAACCTTGTGCTCTGTTTGTCATGTTTATTAGTCATCGTTACAGGTAAGTTCAAGTTTGATATCTTATGGTGATTGCATATAGTACACATTTCTTTTTTAAAGTTATTAACCCGCTTGATACCTACCGTGTTTTGCCCTGCCAATCTGCCCGAGTTTCGGTGGCCGTTTGGACTGTGATGTTCCGAAGAACGAGTTCGTGTCTTGCAGTCGACAGCTGAAGGAGAGCTGACTGACATCACTGTCCGCCCCGTAGCCGTTCATCTTCCCCTCGTTGTATGGCAGCACTTCGGACATGGCTATTCTCAAGTTCCCAGCTAAGGTCGAGGGGAAAAGCGAATATTATTTGTAGGTAGTTATGGATAAAGTCTTTCTAAACTACTACTTTTTTTTACCCAGTGTCGGAAAATACAGTCCGGCTAAGACCCTGGAACAACTATCAGCAGGTCCAGTCGTGCTGCTCTCCTGACCGAACCGTCGGTTGTACCGGAGAAAGGAGGGATGCGTCCGCCTGCAGATGAGCTCTTGTGAGAAATACAGGGAGATCCCGAGACCATAAAGGAAACCCAGAAAGAAAAGTGAAGTCATTCATCCGGGTTTGAAGGGGGAGGGAGTAGGGAGAAATAAATGAATAAAGATGCGCGAGTGAAAGACAGTAGCTGAAGAATAGCTTACTATAGTAAGTAACTAGGAATTAAACTAGTAGGCCTATTTATTTTACTAGTACCTATTACTAGAAAGTAATCAATTATTGACTAGTATCTCTTAATATCATTGTTTACTCCAAAATAAATTATTAATTTGTGTGTATTCCTTATTCCGCATCCCTATAGTTCCAAGTAGCTTGTTACTGGTAACCAATTGCAAATATGTGGTTCAGATGACTATTTATTTCCAATATGTATTCCAATTGTTGATGATACCCAGTTTTACTAACTGGTAGCCATTAGTCAGCTCTTGTCGGCTTTTAAGTACTTAGTAAAGTATCAAGAATGAAAATTTGACTAAAACGTATACAAATAAAACCAGATATAGCAGCGTTTATTTATTTATTTATTTTACTTATCAGTGAATTTAAGACTAATCCCAAAATTTATGACAAAGCACTGAGTAAATATGGGTAAATATGTGAAAAGCTGCTGCCCATCCTGGCGTTGCTCTGTTAAAAACCTTGTTATCTTTTGGCTCCATCTGCTGGGCATTTTCAATACATCCTAGAGCTTGTATAGCAGCAAAAAAACAAAAAAAAGATGATGAAAGCACGACAATCCAACTCTCTTTTCAAACTCATGTCAGCGAGCACTGACGGCTTCCATCTGACTTTTGCCTTGAAGGGGTCATAGGATGCTACATGCACTTTTACAAGTTGTACATGTGTGTACACAGCCACCCCATAATGATAAAAATCCACCCAGTATTTAAAAAAAAAATCTAGTTAAATGTTTTCCCCTTTCTCAAATCGAGCCGATCTCAGATGCCTGTCTGTGTGACATCACACAGACAGGCCCCTCCCACA